GGCACCCCTCAGAAAATGCCAGCTCTTAATCTTCACTTGTTCTTTCACTATAGAAAACTCCAATTCTTTATTGCAGAGAATTCACAAAGCCCACAACAGTTCAGACCTATTTTAACCCTATTTTTTTAACCCTGTTTTAATTTCTATTTAAAATCTCTGGGTTTATCTTGTGAATTGTGTTTGCACATCTAACAGCATTAACATTTTGTGGCACCCTTGAAAGGATCTCAAGGCACCCTGATTGAGAATTACTGGCATGGAGATCACTTTGTCTTACGGGGACACTAGTTAGAATCCCGACCTTCGAGCCAAGAGCTTGACCTCTGCATGGTGGCGCTGAAAAGCTGGGACTTTCAGAGAATCTAAAAATATAGGCACTCGAATTCCATTTAAATTCACTGGAAGTTGGACATGTACTGCCCTTGAACACTTGTCAAAAAGCTCATACATAGGAAGCTCATCATCCAAGTTAGAAGCTCTTTGCAAATAGAGGCCAAGTATCCCTCTCAACTGTCTGTGAACAAGGTGAAAGCTATTATTCATTTCAAAGACACAGAAAGATGAAACAGAAAAGAAAATCCCAGCTTTCAGCTCCCTGCACTTTTAACTCACTCTCTTTCTGGACTACCCATTAAGTGGCAGCTCAGTTTGGGCTTTGGCACTGGGCTTGTAGATGAAGCCAGGTTTAGGCCATTGCTGCTGAGGGCTGGAATGGCTTGTTTAGTTGTGGAGGAGGCTGTTGCCCCTAGGTTTCCTTTTACTAGAGACCCCCAAGGATTGACATGGCCCCTCGCCCAATTTGGTATCAAGTGAACTTTTAATAGTAAGGCCCTAGGCTTATTACAAGTATTCTTCCTTGCAAGACAGCATGGCAAACGGTTCCTTCAGCCATTATAGGAGCGACCTTTGGTGGTACTGGCCTCAGAGCCTGATCCTCTGCTGAGTGTGCGGGATGTTAGTTTCCAGATTCCTCGTTGTTCAAACAAGAAGTCCAAGGCTGCCCCTGTCTCCCCAGGGTGGCAACACAGCACATACACATTTCTTTGTTTGTCCATCACTTTTGTAACTTCATCCCAAATTGTCCAGTCCCCTGGCTCTGTGCCAGCCACATCCCTTCTGGGGAATCTGCTGTCCCTTGCTTGCTGAGCGCCCGGTCACAGCACTCACATCTCCCAGGGCCACAGAAGGCACGTTGTTCAGTTTTGTTGCTCAGCTCTGGGGAGGCCTGGACTATGGCTAAAAGCCTTAGCATAACTCAGTTTGCCTGCTACAGTGGCCCCATGGCTGGCCCATGGTGGGGGCAGGGAGGGGATGGAGTGAGATGGTTTGTAGGTGGCTGGGGAGATTGTGTAGAGTATGCGTGCGTGTGTGTGTGTGGTGGGGGGGACAGGACACTGCAGCCTGCCCCTGTAACTACTTATCCCCCTCCCCTGTCCCCACCCAGCTCTGAGCCCTCCAGTCCTAACCCAACCAACTAGGAGCTACAGCTACTGCTTCTCCTTGGCTGGGCTGGGCTGGGGGTTGCGCAGGGCTGCCACTGCTGCTGACTGCCCCGATCCAGGACAGAGCTGAAGCAGAAGGTAAAGGGGGTGGGGAGGAGAAAGGCAGGGCCAGAGTATGAGGTGGAAAAGGGCAGGCACAAGCACAGGAGCAAGGGTTTGGCAAATCAGGCTGCAGAGGGGGAGCAGGGGCGGGGGAGGCAGAGAGTGGGGGAGCAGGCACAGGCATGGCAAGCAAGTGGCATGAAGGCAGGGGACAATTAGTGGGGGGTAAGAGAAGCACAGAGGGGCAGACAGGAGGGGGACACCTGGCAGGGAGCATGTAACAGGTGGGCAGGCTGGCACAGCAAGGGGCAGGGGAGAAAGGAGCAGGCTTGATCTTCCACTATTAATTTACAATCTTCTGTGTATCTTTTGGGTGGGGTGGGAGGGAAGATCCTCTTAAATTCAAAGTTGTCTTGGATTTGGGTAAATATGGTAAAAGGAGAACATAACTGTGTTTTTCTTTTCAGACTCTGCTCTGACATCTCCCATCTAGATGTGGGCCAATTCCAAGCAAAGCATCTGCCAGCCTACTTTCCTCCCTGCACCAGTATAAACTATAACCTCATCAAAGAGCTGGGTTTGAACATGACTCACATCCGGTGTGAATGTTATAATCTCAAGAACAATGAAAACAGGGCTCATAGTAGAGATGATATCTTTTATCAGACCAACTAGATTTTTGCAAAAAAAATTGTTTAATTGCATGCTTTCGGGCACAAACACCCTTCATCAGGCATTGGAGAAAAGATTGTCAAAGCTCTCCTGGGTAGACATGAAAGTTCATATTTCACAGGCTTTCAGAGAGGAGTCAATAGATGAAAAACTCCTCTGGGCAGTCCATTCATAGCTTGTATGGAGCCTCTCAACTCCTGTGAGGATCTGTGATGACGCAAATTACCTTGAAACAAAGGCAGGAGCAGGATCTCAGGTTTCAGGATACCTGGATACCAAATCTCAAGAAAGCATCATTACCTCTTACTTGTAGCATTGGTGGCCCAACAGATGTTCTCAGACTGCTTATCCAGTTTGGCCCATCACGGCAAACAGGGAGGACTGCTTACTGCACATAAGCATGAGCTAGGTGGCACTTTGGTCAACCCTAGTAAGCCAGAGCTACTTTAGAATATGGTTAGGCAGAAGCACAGCAGGGTTTTTTAGGATCACAAGTGTTACTCTAGATACTGACAGTCATATAAATGGTAAATGCACCATCCCCAGCAGTAGCACCTGCAAGCATGCTGCACAGCTCCAAGTGAGCTGCCTCTTAAACCAGAAATAGTGTAGCTGATGTGGGAAAAGGGCTCATTAGCTTAGAGACATCTGTATGACTCTGAAGCTCTCTGAACTTGGAGCACTCCAACTGACACAGGGTACTTCTGAGACAGTCTATGGTTGTGCTGTAATACTTCTGGATTTATATTTTTATATTTATATTATAACAGCATTGCTTGCTACAGTTTCCCTGACTAGCCTCTATACTGGGGAAGCGGGGGGGGGGTGAGATGTATCGTATCTGGAAACAGCTGTAGGGATCTGTTGTCTGTTAGGAAGGAATAGGCCATCAAGCAACAGTAAACTAATTTGCTTCTGTTGACCTGAAGAGAGACTCCCTGCTGCTGCTGGTGCCAGGGCGGTACTCCACAAAAGTTCAGTGTAAAGAAATGGTCTTGAAAATGGAGACTCCCGCAGACAAGGAGAGGGAAAGAGGGGGTGCGAGAGTGCAAGAAAGCCAAGAGCAGGAGAGGACCCAGAGGAGATGTTATCTGCTAGGGTTAGCCTGGGCTTTGGAGGGGTGGGGGAGGAGAGGAGAGATGTCACTGAGCATTGGAGAAGAGGGGGATGCTGAAAATGTAGGGGGAGGTGAAGGGTGGGGAGGAGTCTTACCTGATCTGGGGACTCAAAAAATCTTGCTGCTTCTGTGGCATAGTCTGCCCACCTCAGATTTTGCTCTTACAGTGGCTGCACAGTATTTGTGCACCTGACTGCTGCCAAGGCACCCTTACTAGCTGCCCCTGCAAGTTACGGCTATTATTTGAAAAAAAAAAAAAAAAAAGGCTGCAGCTTCATTGCATGCAACTTTGGGTAAAGCCCCTTTCCAGGAGCTAAGCCAGAAGGTAGTTCTCAAAGGCAGTGGTTCTCAACCTCTTTTGTACCTGGCCCATTTGTGAACATCAGTGGCAAGTCCCAAGCCAGTGCCCCTCACTCCCAACCCACTGCCCTCTACCTCCAGGCCCCAGTACCACCCATGTGGGGCAGGAGGTGGGTGTGGGGCATGGGGGGCAGCCTCTCATAGGCTGGAACTTTGCCATTCAACAAGGGAAAAAGCCATGGTTTTCCACGTTTTTCTCCTTTAAAGGAGAATCTATTTTTAAAGTTTGTTCACAACCCTTTCATATATTCCTGAGACCTACTTTTGGGTCATGACCTATAGGTTGAGAAACACTGCTCTAAGGGAGCCACAGATAACCAAGGGGGGCAGGGACCAAAAGGCAAAGTCTCAAAGCCCAAGAGGTCAGGGCCTGGCCTGGTTTCAAGGGATACTCCAAGAGCTTGTAAGATGCGTCTCAAGTAAATGTTTTTCTGGGATCTGTTACAGCTTCTAATGCACGTCTGTACATGGTCGAAGTCACCTACACGTAGTTCACTGTTTGCAATGAAGTGCGAGTGGTTTGAAGACTACATCCAGGCACGCCCCCTTTAGGAGCTATGGATTATAACACTAGACAAATGAATTTCAGAGCCTACCTCCTGCTGCAAAGACTAAATACTCCAGACTTCCTTTCTGCATTAATGTTAGTCATGCAGTACCAAGTTTGCCAAGTGACAAAGGAAGAAAGGAAGAATAAACTCTACCAGGTCCTCCAGACAGTAGTGTAACTAGGGCAGAGTGAATGGGGTAGCAACTTAGAGAGGGCACCAGTATGACCCTCTTCCCCACTGGAGTCTTTGCAGGTAGAGCCCAGCCATAGGGCCTGGCAGGTGCAGCCCCATGCTGAGCAGTGTATCTGGGGGTAAGGGTGCTGAAATTACACCCCTTCCCCGCAAGGAGTTGCCATGCCCTGCTTCTGGGGGTGGGGAAAGCAAACAGGGCACAAGCAGCAGCCCCCAGGGGAGCCCACCCCACTGCCTGTTGCTCACAGCAAGAGCTACTGCTTACGTGAGGACAGCCCCAGTAGGTGAGAGCCCCCCCATCCAGTTCTCCAGTGGTTTGCTTAATTCCACCTCCATCTTCCCTGCCCTGGGTGCTGAGCAAGCTGGGCTATGTATGCCTCTGCTTCCACATGTGTCTAACTGATTACAGCCTATTCAAACAAGCCATGATTAATGCAAGGCAAATTTTATTTTTTCTGTATCTAATCCATTTAAGACACCATGCTCAGTTCAGTGCCATCAGTGCTAGGCTGTTTGTGTTCATATCACGACCATGCCAAGAAACAGTGACACAAATACATTTTGTTTTGACAGGGTACCTTTTATTAATAATTCTCATGAATCTGTCACACCTAGGAGGTGTCAGTCTTTTTTCACACTCTGTAAGACTTCTGGGAGAATAAACTAGAAAGGCAGAAAGTTAATTGAAGCTACTAAGATGCACATTGGTAGGTGGGTCTATTTTGGATTTTTTTTACATGATTTTCCATGAATGTGCCTCTAAAATTAAATATGTTGAGAGAAATACAGTAGAAAGAATATATTTACAGTCAATTATAATGAGCACTGCCAACATATCCAATAACAAAAATAAAACAAAAACTTTGTCATGTATCTTGCATGCTTTTTTTCACAGAGATTTTAAATACGATTTTGTTTTTTAAAAAATACAATAAGGAAATAATTACATTCTTAATATGAGAACATTATCTTACAACATACAGCCAGGGTCAATTATTTTGAAAGTGTCTAAAATAAAAAATTGATACTACATTAAGTATTCTCTGTTAGAAAAATCAAATCACCACAATCCTCTTATAAAAACACCTTTGGTCCCCTAAAATTATGATCCCATATTTTAAAAAGTATAACAAAAAGCACCTGATACAATAATAGGAGTTTGTTGAGGAAGCACACAATTTTCTCAAAAGACACTGAATCGTGATGGTTTAAAATACAAATTTTTGTCATGCTGGCCTATTGCTGAGTTTTGCCTGGTGATTTTTCAGTTTAAAAACTTTAAAAAAGCAAGCTCTGTTGCTTTTCAGTAAAAACTGTACAGTAAAAGTAATGTGAAACAAAATGTGTATATTTCACAGCCCTGAATGAGGTCTGTAAGGAGGTTATTTCAGGCTTTGAATGATTTTTTCTTAAAATACCTTGGCCATTATATTCTTCATTATAGAATAGATTTCACAAGTACGCTAATGCAAAATGTTAGCAATATTTAGAAATGTTTAACTGCAGTATGTTTGGGTGAAAATAGTTCTTTGCAAGGGATAGGGAAGAATATGCTTAATCTTGTCCATAATACTTCATTTGGATTGGGCACTAAAAGGTGCCATTCTTAAAAGTATATGTGGCAGAGTAGAAGACCCTATTATCATCATTAATGGGAGCTGTGCAGACTTTAAAATTTTTGTTTGATTACAGGAATTTGCACACTCCTATCTCAGGCATGGACTCAAACTTTAACTCCAGCCTCCTCCCAAATTGAACTTCACAATGGAGATGAGAGTCACAAAGCCAAAACTTGAAAAACTAATTAGTTAGGCTAATGATTATTTGGTGTTACTTGATGTGGGACCAGTTTGTAATGGTAACTATTTTGTTGTCAAACACATTGACTAGAGGCCTAATTTGCATCATAAATATGTACAGATATAAATTAAATATTTATTGAAATATACAAATAAATAACTTATTTTGAAATAAAATGCCTAAATGAATTTTTTGCATCAATTTGTTTCCTGATGTTCGTGGGATATTTGTAGTCCAGTCATGCAGCATAACATGTGCCCTCCACCTATAAAGTGTTAATGGCAATCTATTGTAGAATATAACATCCTACTTGGAATAATGAACACTGCTAACATTTATTTCCCTACTGTATTTGCATTTAAAAAATATGTACTAAGAGAAGGAAGAACCTTCTGCCATTTAGGGCTAGCACTGAGAGCAATGGGAGCCTTGTCATTGACTTTAATGGGAAACAGGATCAGGCCTTTAGTAGTGGGCCATTATGGACCAGGCTTTCAGTATTCAGCCCCCACAACCCCGCATGGGTTTTTCAGGAACCTTTGTACACTGAAACCTGAAAAATGTGGTCTCTGGTCCCAAACCTAGTCTCCTTCCATGCAGATCTCCCACTGATGTCCTCTTGCATTCCCCAAGTTTTGTATAGGTCTATACATTGACAAAGCAATATACATTCTTACTAATGACAACTATGATAGAACTGCAGGCAGGTGACGAAGGGATATTTTTTTCTTACCTTATTACAGCGTTGCCAACTCTTCTCACTTCTCTGATATATTTGGTGCCTTAACCCCTGGAGGCCAGTGACTATTAGAATCTCTATTTTTTCCCTCAAAATTTCTAGCCCTAATGGTTATGAACAAAACCTGGAAAACACAACCTGAGTATGCCTAAGGCACCCTAAACCAGAAGGCAAATAAAAAGAGTAAACACTTCTTTTTATAAAACATCAAGATTTTTAAGAAGATGATATGAGTTTTTTGGATGTTCAACTGGCAATAATGCATGCAACTTTCCAGGAGTGATGTAAATACAAAAGGGAGAACAGACCTTTGTATCAATTTTGCAGAGTAAAAGGAAAGATTCTGTTTCTTGGCAAAAGACCATGAGTCTGTTCAAATATCTCTGTCACATCTCACTTTATCACTATTGTGTATAAAGGAGAATAGAAATAATTCCCTCAGCCTGTCATCCTCAAAAACAGTGTCTGAGATCTGAAAGGAATGAAGGAAACAAATATAGCCACGTTCTAAAACTCAAATTTAACAGCAAGCAAAACCAAACTACATGAGCTATTTAAAATTGCCATTATTAGTTCAGAATTAATTTTAATGGCTGTCTCTTTGAGAGATGCAGAAATGAAGCACTTTGTTGCCTTTTGAAAATCAGGAATAATATAGTTCTCAGATCATATAGGAGAGATCCTGATAACAAAAGCATGTGTCCAAAATGCATCAAAAAATGCTTCACAGTGGAATTGTGAAGATGCAGAGAAGGGCTTCTGACTTCCCAGCTTGAGCAAATCGTATCACTTCTGCGGCTATACTGTATTTCTTCAGTGTCTAGCCATGTAAACAGGTAATAGCTGAGTGAATCCTAATAAGTAAGCTTGTGAAAAGTCCTCTCCCAACAACTTTTATGGTAGAATTCTGAAAGTCAAAATAAGCCTTAACAGTACATCACGTCTAAATTGAACTGATTTCACTTAAGGCTTGAAAACACCCACCAGTTTTCATTTCCTTTCTGGATTTCTAATGCAATGCAAATGTTGGTTTAATCCATTTCAGCAATGTAAATCTCAATTGCAACTATATGCTCCTTTTACATTACTAAGATTTTTACAAATAAAGTTGGGGAAAAAGTTACAGGTAATAAAAAGGGGCGCACTTAGTTACACAGTAATACAGTAGAGAGTACAGACAAATGAGGGCCAAGCTACCTATAACTTAATAGAATTATAGAACCTCTTATGCTGTATCACTTGACACCACTCCACAGATGAGTCTTTCGCAGCCTATGTCTTGATCCATACTAGATAAGCCCTTTATACAAAGAAAATGTTCTTGCTGTGTTTAGGTTCCATTTTTCATCTCCCATTCCTGGAGGGGGGGAAAAACATAAGGAACTGTTACAGAAACCATAATGTCCAGAGATTCAGTTAGATCTAGCTATGGGTCTGATCCCAAGCCAATTAAACTCAATGGGGGTCTTTCCATTGACTTCAAAGGGCCTCTACTCACAAGTAATGGAATCTCTGAGGCACTGAATTTGTTTTACAATTTGGAAAAACACAAACAGAGGAAATATGCCCCCTTCTATACAAATACGTAATTTGTACTACAGAGTAGCTGCATATTCACATTTTCTTTGGGCTAAAGTGCCTTGAAGCCTTTTCTTTACTAACTGCAAATCTGCAAGGCATAACTAGTCAGCAGAAATACAGAAGGGTCAAATGACAAAGGATTAATTAAGCAATGCTGCATGTTCAGCCTTATACAAATAATAGGAAGGCTGGCTACAGATATGAGATGGTAGGTAAGGACTTTCCAATTAACCCTGTGTGGGGTAAGGACCCCTCAAGTGTAGACCATTTCTTGAAGGGCTCCCAATCCCGATGCATGTGTAGACAGTGGCGTTTTACCATGGAGCGACTTAGTCTATTCTTCAATAAAGCAGTAAAGCACCAAGCAAGGCTTAATGGCTCAGGCATTGAATCTGAGGTAAGGAACAAGGATTCCTGAATTTGATGCTCATCACATCACTGTTCATATTTGTTTTCTACATACTCAGTCTTAGCTCAGGCTCCATTACTGCTGCTTCTGCCACTTCAATAGCATTCTGAACACAGTTCCTCTACTGGGCCTTCACTGGGAGTTTGGCTATTGACTTGAAAGGGAGAACAACTGATCCTCTCAGGGGTATTTCCAGCCTACAACTCTGGCAGAAGAAATTATGCAGGTGTGATGTACATGTACGGTTACATTCTTGGAGAGGGTGCATCATGCTGTGCAGGGCCCAGGTCTGCTGTGCTCCTGCACCAGCAGTACACAGAAACAGAGGACGGGAGGCAGGGATAGGCTGGACAAATTTACTAAACCAGCCCCTTTAGCCAGGACATGTTGAAGCCATAGAGCTTCTTTAGTCTCAGTGGAGCAATCACCCAGTTGTTCTGCAGCCAGGTGCTGAGGGTAAGATTTTTTCCTTTTTCCCACCCCAATCTCTGTGCAGAGATACTAAGCAGGCATAATTTGTAGAGCTAGAAGGAAAACAACTGACTGCTTGTACATTTTACATTACAGAGTCCTTGGATAAAAATAAAAGCAACCCTGTCAGCAGGGACCAGAAAGCTTCCATCTACACTGCCTCATCAACAGGCTCCAGAGTTAGTCTTCCGCGTGTTGTTTCCTTCCGATTCAAGAATCTTGCACTCTTGGTGCTCAGTAGCCAGTTTCAGCAGTGGAGAGGGTTATAGACAAACCTATAGTTTGGTGGTTACAATAGTATCCTGGGAAATAAGAGGTTTAAGTTGCCTCAGACTAAAATAAGCCTAGAACCAATTTTTGGGTAAAGGCTTTAACCACTAGGCAATGTGCAAGAGGTGTCCTCACTACCACAGCTATAGAAGAAGTGTTGTGCTTTGCACTGATGGCATGCAGCTGTCAGAGTTAGGCAGTCTGAAGTGGGCACTCTGAATCCTGAGATGATGGAGTTGCCTAATGGACTAAGACAGGGGCTGTCAACCGGGGGTACGTGCGGGTGGGGATGGAGCGCCACCACCCACACTCCATGCCGTCACCTCCCAGGAGCAGGGCGGAGGTGGGGGCAGGGGCAAGAGCAGCAGCACCCCCCTGCAGGTCGTACAGGCGTTGCCTGGCAAGCTGGATGCAGGGGTGGAGGAAGGGTACCTTGCACGTGGCCACCTCCACTACCCACCACGCTGCACTGCCACCACGTGCTGCTTTCCCATGGCCAGTTGTACGTGCGGCTCCACGGGCTGCTGATGGGTAGCACGCGATTGGCCAGGTGTGAGGCCCGTGGAGCCGCGTCTGCGACTGGCCATGGGAAAGTGGGGTACAGTGGTGGCATGCAAGGTCCCCCCTGCATCTGGCTGCCACTACCAGAAGGTTGAAAACCCCTGGAATAAGATGCCTGAGCTCTGAGGAGTGTGGTTCACTGTAGGTGCCAAATGGCTCACTGTAGGCCCCTCCTTACTACACTGCCTTATGGAGGTGGCTAATTCTCTCCATTGACTGTAGTAGGATCCTAAGTGCTTAAACTTTCAATCTGGACTGACCTCCTGGGGCAAGGTATCTAATTTTTGGCCATGTCAGCATGTAAGCAGAAGTGCTTGTGGTGATGATGTAGATCTGGACCAATAGGTGCATCACTCCTATGTCATATGTCAGCTATAGCCCAGGAACCCAGGGGCCTATAGTTGGTGTCCCATACGGCTGTATGAACATCATTAGTTCCCAAAGAGGATAGATATAAATTGCTTAATTGAAAATATAATATACAAACAAATCCAATTTCTTAATTTTAAAATTAAATGTAAAATTATGAATAACCTATAGCCTAAACATATTATAATATATGCACATAAGCAAAATTTAAAGTAATATACTTTAAATATAAACAACAGTACATTTGCTGCCAAAGGTTTAAAGAACGCCAAATCCTGGAATCAGAATGGAAGTCAATGGCTTATTGCCTGGAACTAGAGCCTGTTGAATGCTAAATCAAATTTTTTCCATATGCAGTATTTTCATTATTCACATTTAAGATACTTTTATTTAACTAATAAGAAGAATGAAATGTTGGTTTTTGCACATGTTGATGCAATTCCAATTATTCTCTAAAAAGAGCTTGACACGAAAACATGAGTAAGAAATTAACAACTACATAGAAGCACATGATTCACCACTTTCAAACAGAATAAAAAAGGAAATAAATTTATATTCTGAATTCAGAATATGCATACAGACATAATGTATCTCCTGTTTAGCAAACAGAATTAACACATTTATTATAACTATTATATTTATCAGTATATTTTAATAACCACTAACCAGCCACTGAGAATCAACTTTTTCAGGAAAATAAATTAAAAATACAAATACAAAACAAGCTGAAAACCAATAATTTAAACCAATCCATCTTCCTCCATGTCTACCACCATTAGAGAATTGTAGAAAAGTAGGGCTGGATGACCTCAACAGGTCAGCTCACTCAAACCCTTGCTCAAGGCAGGATCCTCCCTGTCTAAACCATCCTAGGCAAACATTTCTCTAAACATTTTCTAATCCCCCTTAAATCCCTGTGTCCTTTAAGATTTGGGTGCAGGAGGTCTCTATTCTAACATCCTAATATATTCTACTATTCTGCAAGATGTTTCTAACAAAAGAATTCAGAAACAAGTTACCTCAACTAGAGCCCCAAAGTCCCACTATATAATCTAGCACTTCATTAAGAAAAGCTTCAGAAAAAAGGGCTGCTACCACTGAGAGTTGAGTATAGGACAGAGATATGTGCCCAAAGAGTAACCATGAAGCATTTTAAGAAGAAAAATGATGGAAAGTATCAGATAAAAAAAAAACAAAGTTTGACTGTAAGTAAACACCCTGTAACATTGTGAGATTTGCCAAATATTAAGGAATGGCATGCTCGTACTGATATGAAATCAGACTCACTCCCACACACTATGATGGAGGTTACATGTGCTGAGCCGAATTCCACACTTTGAATACTCACAGGCAACTCCCACAACTTAGCCGCATCAACTATTGCCAAATGATTTAAGCTTATTCATAATTACATATGGCCGAAATATTAAGGGCCAAATTCCACCCTTATGCAATTCCCATTGAAAGCAGCGTCCATTGCAGGTGCATGGTTGAGGGCAGAATTGGGCTATCCAGTTGTAGATGGGCCAGTGCAGCTACAGTCATAGAGGTAAATGTCTCTATTAGTATTTGGTGTGTGAGGTTTTATGAAGAGGCAGAAGCAGTCCTTAAAGCTGTATTCATTATCCTGATCCTTTTCCACTGAGAGGAACCATGTATGGTAGTTCTGCAGCTTTTTTAATGGCCTGTTCTTACAACCAGGGTTCTTCTAGATGAGAATCTGATTAACCAGTAGTGAGAATCTGCTTAAACCTTTCATCTACAATTAACAGAACAGATTCTGCTACTCTAATCAAGTCTTCTAGGTTGCAAAATAACTTGCACTTGTCTTGTCTTTGTGCTTTTTAAAAGGGCAAAACTGAAGCACAAAATGTATTGCTGGTTTACCTTATATCATGTTAACAGCATAGCAAAGATGGAACTAGAGCCCAGTTTTTTAATCTCTCAGCTCTATGCTCTAACTCCTGGAAGGCAGTCCCTTACTAATGCTTTTCTAAAAGCACTTGTGAATTTTACCACATCCTCACTGCAAATGTACATACCAGATAAAAAATGTATTTGCTCTATCAGTAACGATGAAATAATACTTAAAGCATTTTCTGCAACACAAGTACTGCTGTTTTAAATTAAATCAAGCAGTGCCCTCTAAAAAGCAGATGAGTGAAATTATTGTTTATCATTGCAATTAGCAATGAACTGACCAAAATAACCGGACATCTCGCGGTGCCTGTAGAGGTGCTGTGAGGCACTGCAATTACAGTGTACTGAAGCAGACTCAATTCATCAAGTCTGCTAAAGTGTGGCAATTACTGCGCTTCAGACAGCCTCTGCATCTTGTGCATCAGTGTCCCTGTGTTTCAAAATGGCAGTGGGGGCACTTGAACTAAAACTAAATGAGCTTTAGTTCAAGCACCCCCATGGCCACCCTGAACCACAGGGATGGTGATACACGAGATGCTGTGGTGCTTTAATCAGAGCAATTCTCAGAGCCTAAAGAATGCCCCCAGTCTCCAGAGCACATGTAAAAATGCCCTTGGGGCCTGATGCCACAACTACTATTCCTATTTACATCATGTATCAGTTGCTCAGAAGTAGTAATACATTGCTAGCCAATTCAGCCAGGCCCCAAGAACTGTCGGGCACAATCCCTTTAACATAAAGTACAAACAGCACTAAAAGTTACAGCAGTAGCACAGGAATATAAAGCATCAGGCAGATATTTTGCCAGGTATTAAAACAAATCACACCAATCTAATTTTACATGAATTATATAGAAAGAGTAAAAAAATGCCTTCTCAGTGCTAAACTTATTAACGTTACTGAGTGTGACTGAGAAGGGCAATCTGCTTTATCGACATTTACCTTGCATAGGAAATCTGTGCAGAATGCAGAAAAAACAGTCAAATCAATTCTTAATATTTCTATTCTTCTGTAATCTAGTTCCCAATATTCACTCCTGTGCAGGAGACAAGCTCAAGATCATAAAGAACTTAAATCATAATTTATAATATTTAGACTTTGGGCCAGCCCTTTGTGCAAACTAATTTCACCCCAGGGAATTCAAGGAGCAGGAACCTCAAAGAATGAAGGCAAAGAGAAACATGTGATGAAAGACAAGGACAGAGGAACAAAGCCAGGCACAGGTCTTCTCACCTTTGCTTTTCTAAGTACATGGCCTCGACAAGGAGAATTACTTGATGAGGAAGGTCTCTTCAGAGCTGCTGCACTATTCACAGGTACTGAGCATTCAGTATCACTTGTATCACAACTGGAGATAGGGGAGTTTTCCATAGTTCGGTGCTTGAATATTGGAGACTGAAAGATTGAAAATAACTTAGGTAAAGTTTCTTTAAAATATACATATAAAAAACTCAGTATTTACCTAAGTATAGGACTGCAAAAAAATTACAAGAACAGTTTTAAAGCTAAGAAAATTATGTTGACAGCCTTTTCTAAAAATGAAGTCCTCATTATGATGGTAAAAGTTACTTCCTGAATGACAGCTGCTTCAGTTTCCTCTCAGTGACTTAACAGCACTAGTGACTGGGTGATTCATGAAGCTGAATCAATAAGTTTGTCCATATTAGTAACATTGTAATATTGATGGTCTATTAAATTTTGGTGGTTCAGGAACTGAGTCTGAGTTAAATGTTCACATAGCTCTGAGGTGAAATGGGGCATCATTATCATCATATGTTGCGTATCATTCCGTATGTATCAACTCAATTTCACTGTAGAAGAGGACAGTAGATGTGGACAAGAACAGTAATAAATAAGAAACCACTTCGGGTGCTTTAATTTCATGATTTGTTTTACAGAAGAGATCTGGCTTTGCAAGATGTTTTGCACCTCAACTTCTTGTTTCATGAGAGTCGAGAGCACAAAACACTTCATGCTGATATAGTTCTTCCGTAAACTCACCTGTGGGCTTGAGGTTCCTGATTTGGGCTCAATGGCCAATCCTAGTGTAATGCCTCCAGCCAAGGCTTTCTTCAAGCTCTCTTTCACCTCAGTCAGTTCTAACTCCAAACTGACACGCTCGCTCTCCTTCAGCTTACATTCCTCTTCCAACTTCTTTAACTTATCTTCAAGAATCACTTGGGTTTTCCTGCCTGCCATTCACAGAGTTGGTGTTATTCCAACAGCCGGCCAAAACTGACAGACTCAGCTCTAAACAGTACTCATTTTCATTTCAAAAGAGGGAACAAAAACTAAAATTACTGGCTTCCCCAAATGCTATTCAATATGGAAGATTTCAGCCTCAGTCAAATAAAATACTTAGTGCCTTTTGGATGAGGGTATGGGGGGATGGACAGAGGTTTTCCTGTGGCAACTGCAAAGTTATTTTTCAGTAGATCTGTGGGTTTTAAAGAAGTGCACGCAGCCAGTGATAACAACAGCGTAACCTCTTGCATTTACACTGGCGTTACTACCTTCTCTGGCACTGGATTAGTATGTTTCGCATTGATTGGACAAATAGCACAAAGATATTCTCATTTCAGTTATAGTCTACTTCATATATTTTTGCATTCAAAATTAACCATTAAAACATAGCAAATAGTTCTGACTTTTTAAATGTACTCAGTAGAAGGAAATCATTTAGTTCACTTAACCACCATTTGCAGAGTGCATGAGCCTAGAGCAAGAAAAAACCTCCTACCAGCATTGACTTCAATGGCAGCTCGTAAGTCTTTCCTTTCTTTTCGGAGTTGAGCCAACCTATTCCGCAGAGCTTCTTTCCTCTTTAATAATTCCTCCTCTTTACTTTGTAACCTCTTTGCATCTGCTTCCACCCGATTCTTGCCATATTTGTATTGATCAGCATCTACACAAAATATTAAAATATAACTGTTTATTTTATGTGATAAATTGCCCTCTGCATGGCTCCAGATTCAAAGTAGGCTACTTCAAAGAATGCCAAACAAATTTTTCAGATAAAACCCCCATCCCTGAACTTCTTGTTCTCAACTTTGTGACTCTCACCCAGCTTTGATTACAATGTGTGCATATCTTTGATCTTCCCCCAAGAGTTCAGTTTGCTTAATATGTTAACTGCTTTAGAAAAAGTAAGTAGTAAATCAACTCTCTACCCATCTCTTCAACCAATCTATAAAACTTTTTAAAGTTTGAAAATGAGAGTAAACTTTTTTCTTTTCACTGGCTTTTCCAATATTTCCTGCTTCAGCACAGTTGCTGAAATAATCCAAGACAGATTTGTTCTCTAGATACACCTGGAAGAGATAGAAATGAAAATACCAGACACTTTACAAGAATCTCTAAGAATTCCAGGCTGTACAGAGTACAGAACAGGTTCTGATAAGCATGTCTGCGTTCCATCGGTTTACCCAGACTGAAAAAAAACCCTTTAAAAGCAGACTTGTTTGTTAACTGAATGCTGAAGTTAGAAAAAGGACAATTTCCCTTCTATGCCAATACTCCATGTCCCAATGGAAGGGTTGCTGCTTCTGGGCATGTACCTTTTCTTTTCTGACAGTGAATTGTGGGAAAATCAGATGAAATGGGATGTGTCCTCTCTCCCTCGCCTAGTCCAGAAAATTTGGTTTAAGATCCTATATCCTCTGTGGGAATCCCTATACCCTTCATTAAGAAACATGGGTTAGACATGCAAACACCTCTGGGCTCAACAAACCTCTTGGGCTTTGACAAACTGTCCAAGTATTTTGTAGCCATGCAAATTTAGAGTAGGCAATCAGACTTCATTAAATTGCAGTTGTTGGTTTAATTCTAATAGGATACAATTAAATGTCTACAAAATCCCAATAGTTTCATATTGTCATATTAATTAGCATGTATACTGCAGTAGCACTTAGTAGGTCTTAACCAGGTTGTGGTCCTTGGGCTACAATAGTCTGTGGAATGAAAAAGGTATTAACAGAAGCTTCAAACTAAAACTGCTGAATTTAAAGGACTTGGTAAACTGTTCATAAGCTGAAATAGCTCTTTCCCCTCCCTAGTGTTTCCTTTTCTGATGTATTTAGGGAGCAATGATATCCACTCTTAGACTCTGTTTTGCTAGACAAGATGAATCAAACTTGTTTTAGTTTCCTCTCAGAAGAACACTTCTCCATTTCTCTGAACCTGTTCCAGTTTCAATTTGCCTTTCTTGAGTATGTATGACCAGAACTGGACACATTATTCCAGAAGAGATCTAACCTTTACTATTTCTCATTTTAGTGGAAATACCTTACTTGATACAGCCTAGATGTATATTTGCCTTATGCCTACATTATTGTAAGCATTCAGAGTTATCCTTGGCTTGCCCACATATTTTTTCTCTCTGGTGTTTTCCATCTGGTGAGTCTCCCACTTATTGCAGGAATTCTTATCTAAAGTTGAACACCTTAGACTTTATCATCATCTCGTAAATACATTTAGACTGGAAATTTGAAGAACATATCTAACCAGAATGAGAAATGAGGTTCCAGAATGGCCTTCTAGCCAGAGTAGTAGAGGCAGAAACCTGACTAGTTTTTAAGCTGAACTTGATACGTTTATGGGAAAGGATTTATAATGTTCTTGTCTTTGACAGCAGGGGGCTGTATTCAGTGATTCAGGAGGCCTTTTTTAGTCTAGTGTTTCCTATATCAGGAGAACACCCCATTTTAATTATTTCAGCCCTCATGGTCATCCAATTATTCTTGCACTCTAGGAGTCAGAAATACATAGCCTGCAGAGCCAGGGGACTTTGGCAGCATGTCAGTGGCAGGGATGGGGAGGGAGTTCACCCATTCATGGCTGGGGGTCAGGGACAAGCAGAGAAAAGCAGTGGCTGGATCTGAGCCAAGTTGTTCCAACCTGCAGCTCCAAAACCATGCCCACGGTGTTGTATGCTATTACAATCCTCCTCAGTATTAACAACGTCTCACAACTATGTGTCATCAGTAATTTAAATTAGTGTTCTTCTGCTTTTCGCACCAAAGTCATTAATATAAACATAAACTAAGATAGAATTCATCAAGGATCAGTTGGGAAATCCATTAGGAACCTCCCTCTCATCCAGAATTATTGTTTTAACAGTATGCATGGTCATCACCCAGGTTCTAGCCCATCTTCCAGTTCTTGTAATTGTTCCCATCTACTCCAGTCTCCCTACTAATTTACCAAAGGGCATTGTATCAGATAGCTTACTGACGTTCACATAAGTTAGATAGACTCTATTTCCTTTTCTAGGAAAATAGATATCTTCTCAAAGATACCAGGCTTGTCTGGCACCATCTACCTTTGAAACATATGTGATAAATGTTGTCCCATTTCCCATTTGTCTCTATGCCTTTTATTCTTTTCTCCAAAATTTGTTCTAACAAGCCATTTTTCTAACAGGTGTATAATTGCCCAAATCAATTTTATGCCCCCCATCCCCTTTTTTGTACATCACCATCCTTGTTGAAAACATGCACATTATTTAGTGAGCTTTTGGATGACAGAGATATCTCTACTTCATTCTCACTGCATAGCACTCCTACTTCTTTCCAAATTCTCTTTTATTTAAATGTCTGAACAACCTTTTCTGTTTAATTTCCTTTTCGTGGTCTAACTCAGCTTGTCTTCTGGAAGTTCTCAATTCCCAGACCTCTCAGATACAGCATTCTCCACTCAGCAATCTTTTCTTTCCTCATTTCTTTTTATTTTCCGCTTATTTTTCCAGTGATGGCTCATCCAAGAGCCTTTATAAACAAAGTCTGGAGCCCATCAATTCAAGTTCCTTCCTCTAGCATGGTATACAAATTACTACAGGTAAAAGTACTCTGCAACCTTGAATGTAAAGAATATCCAAGCTGGCATATTCCTGAATATTCAGATCTTTGAGCTATATACTCCAGTTCACTTCACAAGCTGATTCCCTTAGTTCATGGGTGGGTAAAATATAGCCCATGGACTGGATCTGGCCCGCCAACTGCTTGGATCTAGCCTGCAGCTGCCCTCACAGCAATCTGCGTGGGACTGAGCCCCACCCAGGGCAGCTAGCACTGTGCTCCTGCCCATGCCCACTGACCCCGCTCCTGGCTAGCATGCACAGCTCCCAGCAGGGCTGCTCCCAGCTGTCCAGGTATTCCCTTTGCCTTCAGCAGTGATTCTTCCTCCTGCTCCTGCTGCACCACTCCAGGCAGGGACGAAGCTTTAGCTGGGTGGCTCCTTCCCAGCATGCAGGGCTCCAGCTCCAGGATGACTTCCACCTGCTCAGCTGGGTTTTGTGCACTGACTGGGAATGGGGCCAGCAAGAGCAGGCAGAAGCACAACACTAGTTGCCCCAGCAGGGAGCGGGTGGTGCTCAGTCCCATCCATGCGCTCCCTGCCCCCTCCTGCCTCCCCTCACCCCAGCCGGCTCCCAGAACCTAGCACCCAGGCAGCCTCTGCCCGCCCCCCCGCCATGCATGTACCCCCCTTCACACATTACACACCTCCTCCCACATGCAGGGGCGTGCAGAGAACAGATTGTGGTGTAGGTCTGGAACCCAGATGAGAACATCCCAGCCCCACACTGTCTCTGTCCCGAGATCCTGGGGTCTCAATGAAGTCTGTCTGGGAGCTGCATGGGCATGGTGTGTGGCTGGGTGGGTGGGAGCTGCCCCCGGGACTGGGATCTTGGGGCAGTGGCAGTGCAGGGCCAGGGCCCAGGGCAAAGGTGTGATCTGTTTCCTGCATGCCCCTCCCCTGCGCCCATTGCAGGGGTGTGTAAGCAGCGGACTGTAGCTCTTCCCCAGGCCCTGCATTGTCACTGTCTCATGACCCCGCCACATATCCTGGCCTTACCCATCCATCCTGCTCCCAAACAATGCTTCACACCAACTCAGCCACAGCCACATCCCCCATAGGGAGTTTTGGTGAGGTGTTGGGAGGGGTAGGAAGCGGGGTGCCGACCCAGCCCTTGACAGCTCATCAAAAAACTCTCTGCGTGGCCCCTGGGCCCAAATAATAACCCACTCCTGCCTTCGTCTATCAGTTTGTCCTCATAAAAATCAAGAACTTAACTACTTACCTATGCTTGTTTATCCTTTCATTTAACTTAAAACAAACCGCCTCATCATCATCTACTCTGATGACCTGATCTTATATAACCCTATTGCTATTTACCAAAACCAAAACTAAAATAGCAATAGCATCTTGTTAATTCAGTGACTTTTTGGTGAAGAAATCTGTTCGCTATCATATCCAGGAATATCTGGCCCTTATTTTTATTATCAGAATTTGTTTTCCATTCTATGTCTGGAAAGCTTAAGATTTCCATGACAACACAATTCCAGTAGTATTTTTCTTTTTACCGACATTGCAGAAATCTCTATCAATATAAAGATCTCTAAATCTAGAGACGATTGCAGGCTGTCATCATTACCTTTGTGAAATCTCTTTTACTTGCCTTCCCTAAAGTGATTTTAACCCTAAGAGATTCTGTTTTATTCATGCTATGTCTTTTAATTTCTTTACATTTACTAACATGCACAGCTACACCACTGCCAAGTCACGTTCTAGTCATGACATCATTCCACCCTTGAACCTTATCCCTATAATAACTTATTTCACACATCCTACACCAATCGTTCTCTTTCCTTTTGGTGCCCCAGTTCCTTGCATTAGCATACAAACATTCCAGTTATTTCTTGCTGGCCATGCCAACTTTCCTACCTGACAGCTATTCTTGACTAATACTTTCTCCTTGCTGTTCACTGACCTAAAACTTGGCACAAACCATAAGGCTATCCAACATTTTTCTGCCTACCTTAGTTTCAAATTCTATCTATCATCTATACAAGCCCCAGTCCAAGAAAAATCAGCATCCCAGGTACTTAATTGGAATTTGTTACAAAAAATTCTCTATGAGTACTTCTCAGTGGTCAAACATCCAAAAACCTCTCTCAACACTGATCTTTTGAGTCAAATGTTGATCTTTCATGCTCTTGTCATGCCTTCATCTTCCTCCCCATGAACCAAAAGACATCCCAAGATCATCTGAAGTTCCAGTTGTTTTCCTTAGCTCGGCATCTTTCCACTGCAGTAGGAACCTGCAAAGGTCATTTGTCCCAACATGAAGGAAAAAAACCTTGGATTCTTTCCCGCTCCTAACTGAATACTTGTCAGCCTCCAGAACGTATTTCATATTATTGTTCCTGATAGAGACCACACCCTTCTGTACTGTGGATCCATCTTGGAGATGGGCCTGTTTCATAGTTACATAGATTTAGGGTCGGAAGGGACCTAGTAGATCTTCTAGCCCGACCCCCCACCAGGGCGGGAGAACAACAAAACCCCAAAACAAGAAACGGGACTCAAATGAGTCTAGCCAGGTAGGCATCCAGCCTCTTCTTAAAGACCCCCAGGGTAGGAGCCAGCACCACTTCCCTTGGAAGTTGGTTCCAGCTCCTAGCCGCCCTAACTGTGAAGTAGTTTTTGCGGATGTCCAATCTATACCTCCTCTCCATCAACTTGTGCCCATTACTCCTTGTTATGCCAGCGGGCGCTAGGGGAAACAG